GATTGGACGGCAACGCGAAGCAATTCATCGGTAGCATCTTCGAAACCTCAAACGAAAGATATGAGGTTTGGCCACTTGTTAAGTTTTGAAACGGTATCATCTAATTGTTAATGGTTTCTGAAATATGTGACAGTTAACAGCTTGAGTTGGTTGGAAATCTTATGATGCTTTCGAAAGAGGTGAAAATTCGTGCGGCAGAACTTCTCTGTGATTTGTAGTTGTTTGAACTTGAAACAACTGTACAATAGTGTTGTACAATTCATTACTATTTGTGGGATATTGTTGAAAGTGTTTAATTTGATTCAATAACATTATTAGATGAAAATGCTTAGCAAGTGTATATTTGTTCGTATCTTAAGTGATCTGCAAGGCAGTGTTGCTCGTGATAAGCCTAAGCCGGCAGTCAAAGTCGAGGCTGTCAGCGCTACGCAGCAGCAGAGAGTCTCAAAGCAACAAGTGACATCGAAGAGCTCGAAGAGTATCAACCAATCACCATACTCTAAGAGTGTAACCCAATCAAGTGATTTCTTTAATTAGTATATTAATTCTCATCTTATGGAAAACATTTTGACTGAGACAATTCGGTAATGATATCTGTGCTAGCTGATTAGCGCATGGTAAGACACTATCCCAATAGTCTTCAAGCTCGGATGTTCATTACTCCATTCGATGGTCTGGCAGGCCGTCATTATCTCCACGTCCCCCCTTCCCCGCTAAAATAATTTATTATTTCCACGCATAACGTCAGAACTGATTTCCCGATCCCCTCTATTACTACCCTGACATCATTAAGTTGCCCAAAAATGGTCCCTTCTCGTTTGGGGATCGGGTGACCCCTGCACTGCCCGTTATTAAAGTTGATTAGTGGTCATAAAATTGAGTTCATTGTACTCTTATTCAGTGAGTTCCAACTATTGTTTATGATCGCTGAATAGCTTTCCTCGATTATTCAAAACACCATAGACTGAATCAATTATTTGCGAATCTGCACCCTTTCTGTACCCGCATATTATTGATAATTAACTTGTATGCAATCGTCCGTATGCTATGCTCCATTATTAATCTTATCATTATAAGAATAATTTATAGATGTCTAAAATTATTTCCATTAGATGTTGAAAAATATTATAGAATTGCTATGATTGATGAATACTGTGGTAAAATGTTTGAGGAAAGGCTGGCGCGGGCGATGAATGTGTGGAGCTATTGAAACGAACCAATCAGTTCATCGATCAGATTGAACGGATTTACGGTATTAGTGATGAGCCGAAACAATGCTCTGAACAGTCACTGAGGTGGATTAATATTCTGCTTGGATCTGGCGACGTTTTCTTTTGAAGTCATTGATATGAACGGAGCTGGTTTGTCCGGAATGCTGAATGAAGGGCTGAAATTCACGAATTTGCTAGATTTGAGGTCTGAAATTGAGTGTTTTTTTTGAATTTCAGAGACACAAGCGATGGAGACGTATCAATGAGA